AAGGAATATCATTTTAATTCCATCTATAGTACGAGACGGTATAGAATAACCAGTTAAAATCATTTGCCACATTTGAAAATTGATTGATTGTAAAATGGTAGACTTGCAGATTTTCCAAAAATCAAAAGTAATATTTTCAAACAAAGGTGGTCGGGTGATTGAATAACCTTCCGCAATATTACAATTACAAAAATTATCCATTGATAAAAATTCAAAATTTTTTAAAAACTAAATTTTATGAATCCTTCTCTGATACAACTTTAAAGTTCGTTAGGGATGTTAGGCCCTTATGAACTAGCCCAAGGCTAATTAAGAGAAAGGTGAATTGGTATTTAAAACTTCTTTCAATCAAAACACAACAAACCAAACAAAAATTCACCACAAAGAAAACACAATACAGAAATTAAATGCGGAAATAATAAAGGAAAGAACACACCAGATTTATAGTGGTTCGGTCAAACCTTGACGTACGTCCACTCCTCAGAGGCACCCTCTGAGTATTGCACTAAACTCAGTGTCTCTCCTTTAGCCCCCACAGCTATGCGGAGAAGCCCTTATAAAATGACTTTTGAAAGTTTGTTAGGTATGTTAAACCCTTAAGAACTAGCCCGAGGCTAACTAAGTGGGAGGGTGAATTAGTATATTAAATATTTTTCTTTAGGTAAAGCATAAAATTAAAACAAACAACACCACAGAAATCAGAGTGCAAAAACAAATAAATGCAGAAGCAAAATAAAGAAAGATCACATGAGATTTATAGTGGTTTGGTCAATCCTTGACCTACATCCACTCCTCGAAGGCACCCTCTGATTATTGCACTAACTAAGTGTATGTCTTTTAGCTCCCACAGCTAGGCGGAGAAGCCTTTACAACAGACTCCTTTTCTCCAACCCCGGTGCGGTAGAGAACCAACTCCTTTTGCTTCCTCCTGAAGTGGGCAGAGAACCCAGACCTTTTGCTGAAGTAGACCTCCCAAGAACCTCCCAAGGATGAAGGATGAAGAACGGAGATGACGACTTGGAACCTTGCTTGGAGCAACGTTTGTGAACCCTCTCACAAACTCCCCTTCACAAGTTCCTCTCTCTCTCTCTCCTTCTCTATCTCTCTCTCTCTCTCTCTCTCTCTCTCTCTCTCTCTCTCCCTCCCTCTCCCAAGGCTCTCTCAAGTCAAGATAGCAGCACTCAAGGTCTTGTTGCATGAGAGAATTTGGGTCCCTTAAATAGAATTTCAAGAACTGACATTAGCGTCCAGGATGATATGAAGGCCGGTCAATACAAAATAAGTTATATTAGCCAGGATGATTTGGGACGATCAGAAGAAAATGGGTTACATCGTCCAGGCCGATACAATATCATCCTGGCCGATTGGTTCAAATTTGAGTATAATCATCCTGAATATCACCCTGAATAGATTTTGGCCGATATCAATCATCCAAGACATCATCCCAGCTAAGTATTATCCAAGACGATTTGCTTAATGATGGCTTCTTAACCGATGTGATCGTATCAATCAGCCTTAATTGCTTTCCATAATTATGAGATTAATTTAGGCATAATTGTGTTGTATCGTCCAGGCCGATATGAAGATCATCCGGGCTGATATTTTAAAATAAAGAATACCTAAATTAATCATGGAGGTAGATTCTTTCTAATTTTAGCCTATCATTCTAGCCGATATAAGTATTGTCCAGGGCGATTTGCTTAATGATGGCTGCTTAACCAGGATGCCCTAATTAGGGTTTTTATTTTTAGTTGAATCATCCTTGCTGATATGAACATCGTCCAGGCTGATGTACTCATAACAGAAAAACTTAGAAAACCCCACAAGTGTGTGTGTGTACTTAGCATCAGGAACCACTTTTACAATTGACTCAAGAAAGGAAAAAATACAGACTTGACTCAACCTAAATCTACCCGATCTTGAGTTGGCCTGAGTTGTATTCGATCTTGTGGACCTGAAAAGTTAGTAGGCAAAGCAATCGTAGGAAATCATGAATGTTTATTATCATCAGAAGTCTAATCCATAAACTCAGATTTACAATAATCTCCCATTTTTTGATGATGGCAAACACACCCAAAAAATTTCATGCAGTTATGGTAGTTTAGTAACAAAAATGTGATGAAAAAATAGTTCAATAAGTTCCAGAATTCAAAGTACAAGATACATCAGACTACTCCCCCTTTTGACATCACAAAAAGGTGGGAAACATAACATAACACAAATAAAAATATAACAGAAACTAAAAGAAAACGTAAGAAAAACAAACTACAGAAAATGGAAAATACAGAAAATGGAAACTAAAACTAGAAGAGAAATAAACTAGAAAAACATAAGGAAAATCAAAGAAATTAGGGCCCCTGATCATTAGACGGAGGTGGTGGTGGTGGTGGCTGCTGAAAGTAACTAGAGAGCGTAGCAAACTGTGCCCCAAACCAGGCCATGTTCTGGTCGTGCTGCTGCTGCTGGTGTGTAACATAGGCATCAAAATGGGTCTTAAACTTATCAAATATATCCACCAACTGATCCAACTGTGAGTGCTGGTGGAGAGGAATAGGTTCAAGAACAAGAGCTGGAGCCTCCTCCTCAGCCCCCCCCCCCCTGGGTGGAGACGAGTACTGTGAAGGGCGTTGAAAGAATTGTTTGAGTAGATGGGTGGCTGGAGGTCGGGAGGAGCAGGATATTGAATATGGTATTTAGATTTTAGAACATAGGTAATGAGGTGTCCTAGAATAAGATTGAGCTTTCTTCTATGACCTGGATCTCGAATGGTAGTCAAATGCTCGATGTAGCGAAAGATCAGGTCCGTGGCATGGAATTCTCTATGGGCCAGAATGTAAAAGGTAGTAAGTGAAAGTAATGGAGTGATGTGGACTCGGTCCCAGGCTTTTGGAATAATAGAAGTGCGAAGGACATGCTGGATTTTCCTAGCATCTTTGAGTAAAGAGCTAGTCTCTCAAAATTGAAAGTTTGCGTTGGTGTGGCAAAGAAAGTGATTTGCAGTGGACTAGTCAAAGTTAGGATTAGAGATAAGGGTATGCAGCTTATCCCCAGTGGTGGATAGATGCAACAGTTTAGCACAATCTTGATATGTGATCTCGACAGGACGTCGATTCATATAAGAGGTGAGAGCAGTGTAGGAAGAATTTATGTGAAGGTTTGCATAAAATTCAAAAAGAAGTTTAGAACTAATGGGGACTATGAGAGTTTGAATAAAGCAAAGAGAAGTGTGGGTGAATAGATCCAGTACCAGATAAGAGAGATAGGCTGGATTGATTGTTCGGGAGAGAGTAATGCCGCACTCTTTGTAATGGTGGTAGGAAGCCTAATCGTCTGCTTCCCAAAAATAAGGGTCCAGCATGCCCCTCGAGGAGCTTCCAGATGTTTGACGGGAATGTTTCCCTCCAACCATTAGTAAAAAAAGCAATGGGAAAATAGTGAGAGGCAAGCAAGGGAAAGAGATTGTGTGGAAATTTTGGCTGGAAGGCTCTGAATTTAAAGGATCGGCCGGATCATCCAGGCCGATTGCAGGATCATCCAGGACATTCCGGTGCAATTATTATGAACAGGCTGATTGGTCAAAAAGATAGTCAGATCGTCCAGGATGATCATATATCGTCCGGGATGGTTAGACACAAACGATTGTCCCGAGGAGTTAGGCCAGACCGGACGACCATTGAAAAAGCAGATCATCCAGGTCGATTAGGTGGATCGTCCAAGATAATGTACAATAATGGATCGTACCGGCTGAATTTAAAACATTTTAAATCATGCGCCACGTGTATCATCCAAGACGAACAGTGGATCGTCCAGGGCGATTATCCAGAAATGGATCCTTTCGGACGATTTTAAAGATTTTAAATGTACTGACATGTGTATCATCCAGGACGAACAGATGTATTGGATGGGACGATAAACAATAAATGCATCATCCAGGACGAAAAAAATTATCGGCCAGGATGATCTAGATGATTGTAGCAAAGGTCGATCATATCGTCTATGACGATAAAGGATCGTCCAGGACGATGAGAGCAGAAAAGTTAGAATATTCAGGAGATGGAGTTCTTGAAGCACAAAAAACTGATCATGCAGGACGATATAAATATTGGACAGGACGATATTAAAAAATTTTAAATCAAAGGAGGGATGAAGATGATCAGAGAAGGCCCAAAAATAGCAAGATTAATAGAAAATAACCATGATAAAATAAAAGCCATCAAAAAACAACAATTTTTTTTTTTAAATCAAGGCATGAACATGATATAGTCTCCATGTGATTTATTTTAATTTTTTTTAAGTTAATGAGTTAACAACTTCAAAAATCCAAAAAATGGTAAAATATATTATCATGTTAACCCTAAGCTCGGACTTCTTTTAGGGCAAAATCTTCTTTTGAAATCAAAAGGCCTAACAAAAAAAAAAAAAAAAAAAAACATTAGGGTAAGAAAAAGATATATGATTAAGACTTGGTTTCAAAAAAATATTTTGTAAAATAATATATCAAAGTAGTTTGTTAAATCGCAAAATTCAAAATTAATTCCTTGAAATTCGCAAGTGATATATGAAATCTTCTAAGTTTTAAGAGATGGAGGAAAGGAAGATTACTTGATTTTTGATGGCCTCATTTTATGCCTCTTGTCCATTGAATGGCACACTTTACGAATCTTTTGGTTTTTGATACCCTTTATGTGTGTGTGTGTGTGTGTGTGTGTGTGTGTGTGTGTTTATATATATATATTCAATTTGGTGTTATTGTGCATATTTTGTTTTGGCATCACTGGCCACTTTTTATTATTATTATTTTTGCAAGCTAGATTCTTTTCCAAAAACTCATAAATATTCTTAGATCTTTCGAAGGGATGTGTGTAAGCCAACTGTTATCTGGTGAGGGGCAATGGAAATATTCGTTGCTTAAAGAAGTTTTCCATTCAGATTTTGTTATGTTGATCAGCAATGTTCAGATCATACCTGGGATGGAGGATCGGAGAGAATTGCTATAGATGATGTCGGGTAAGTCCATTTTTGCTATGTCTTTTGAATATACCCTGAAGTGCAAATACAATTTTGATTATGAGGACTACTTCACATGGTTGTTTAAGCTTAAACTTAACAAGAAAGTCGAAATTTTCTGGTGGAGACTTGGAAAGTCTGCTATTCCCACACAGGTTTTTCTGCATTACCGAAGACTTGGATTGGATAAAAATTATGTGAGGGGCTGTAATAGTATTGAAAGCTATGAGCACATTATGGTACATTGCAGTTACCTGATTGATGTTATAAAACAAATAAAAGGTTGGGGAATTGGTATTCCTATTTTTCAAACTATTAACAGCTGTCTAGAGGAGCTGAGGATATTGTCCAACCGTAAGCCTGGTATTGTGAAGATTTACTACATTGTTGTGTACCTGTCCTGGAGAAATAGAAACTGTGTGAAGCATGGGAAATCTGCTTTACCTTCTTCTGTGACGGCTTCTAATGCCCTTGCGTTGGCTAGTACTAAAAGTAGTCCTTATCTTTCAAACCGGGGAACCAATCTCCTTAGGGAGTCTCATGAGTCTTGGTGCCCTCCTCCGAAAGATTGGATGAAAATTAACGTTGATGCTTCGCTGCTTAGATCTAATTGTGCTGGAGTGGGGGGAATTTTTAGATACCATAAGGGAAGGTTTATTCTTGCTTTTGGGGAGAAGAGGATTCATTGGGACATTTCCAAACTTGAGATGGAGGCTATTCTCTCGGTCAAAGACTATATTAGAAGTTGGATGCTTGAGTACAAAGGGGTGATTATTGAGAGTCATAATCTCAATGTTATTAGATTCATTCAAGCTTCATTCAAGAAGAATAATCATATTGTGGATAGACGGCCTTTGGAGGAGATTCTCTTTGTCAATGACTTTCATAAAGTGGCTTTTAATCATGTTCATAGAAATTGTAATAAGGTGGCCAACCTTTGTGCTACCATGGCTAGTAGTAGGAGTTTTTTCTTTTAGTAGCATTCGTTCCTTGCTTTTATTTGCTATCAAGGAGGAATGTGATGCTTTTCATTATTTTCAAGTGTAATTAGCTTTACTTTTTCCTATTAATGCAAGTTTTGCAAGTCTTCAAAAAAATAAAAATAAAAAGAGTATATCTTCCAGATATTAGAGAAGAAAAGCTCACTCTCTAATATATAGAAGAATGATCTACAAAATAGAATAAAAAATCATGTGAGACATTCATTGACAGGATAATGAGAAATCTTGAAGTAACATAAAATTTTTGACTAATATTGTATAAGGTAAATTACTATAGCAAGGTAGAAAGGATCTCAATTGCAAAATCCAGCTGTTAATTTGAGATAGACTTTTGGTTAGAAAATAAATTTTTACCACCAAAATAGGTTAGAGAAAGAGACACAATCAACGGTGTTTTTACCCTTCAGCAGATTAAGAGATGTAAAATATTAACTCCAAATTAAAAAAAAATAAGGCATAAGATATCAATTCAGCGATGATTTAAAAAAAAATAAAGCAAGACATATGGAAAACTAAAGTTCCAAAAACAAAACAAAAAATAACTAGCCAAAAAGGAATAAACAAAAAAAAAAAACTAGAAAAATATAGCAAAGTAATCAGCAGATAAAACATCAATAGAAATCAAATTCATGCATTAATATCAATCACACCCAATCTGGTCCTTAAAGTGTTGAAAGTATCTAAGGCAAGTAGTTTAGTAAAAATGTCAGCCAGTTGATTCTCATTCGCCACATGATGTAACTCAATGTCTCCCTTAGTCACATGGTCTCTAATAAAGTGATGCATAATGTCAATGTGCTTAGTCCTTTAATGTTGGATAGGATTCTTAGAAATGCAGATGGCATTAGTGTTGTTACATTGAATTAAGATGGTGCCTACAGGTAATCCTAAATCCAATACTTGTTATTTTAGCCAAAGGACTTGGGCCACACAACTTCCTAAAGCAATGTACTCAACTTTAGCAGTGGAAAGAGAAACATAGTTTTGCTTTCTACTAGACTAGGAGACTAAAGATTGTCCTATGAATTGGAAAGTTCTAGAAGTGCTTTTTCTGTCCATCTTACATCCTGCAAAATTAGAATAAAAAAATCCAATAATCTCAAAAGAAGTGTTGTGCCTAGAGTACCAGATTCCTAGGTTTTAGGTCCCTAAAAGGTATCTAAGAATTCTCTTAACTACAATCAGGTGGGATTCTTTAGGTCAGCTTGAAATCTAGCACAAAGATAAATGCTAAATATTATATCAGGTCGGCTAGCAGTCAGGTAAAGTAAAGATCCAATCATCCCTCTATATTTCTTCTGATCAACTAATTTTATATTTGGGTCATTGTCTAATTGAAGTCCTGAGGTCATGAGAGTATTAATTGGCTTGGCTTTGTCCATTTCATATTTCTTCAAGATGTCCTTTATGTACTTTGTTTGGCTCAAAAAAGTTCTATCATCTAATTGTCTAATGCTAAACCCCAAAAAGTAGGACAATTCTCCCATCATACTCTTCTCAAACTCCTTACTCATTATTTTAGAAAAATCATCACATAGCCTTTTATTAGAAGATCTAAAAATTATATGATCGACATAGATCTGAACAATGAGTAAATCATCTCCTACTTTCCTCAGAAAAAGGATGGTGTCTACACTTCCCTTAACAAACTCCCTTTATAGTAAGAATGTGCTAAGCCTTTCATACCAAGCTCTGGGTGCCTGCTTTAATCTATATAAGGCTTTTTTTAATTTGAAAATATGATTTGGAAATTGGGAATTCTCAAAACCTAGGGGTTGTTCTACAAATACATCCTCTTTTATTTTCCCATTTTAAAAGGCACTCTTAACGTCCATTTAGAAAAGCTTAAATCCCTTATAAAAGACAAAGGCTAATAGCACTCTAATGGATTCCAATCTAACTACAGGGGCAAAAGTCTCCTTAAAATCTATCCCTTTTATTTGGTTATACCCCTTAGCCACTAATCATGCCTTATTCCTAACCACCACTCTAGAATCATTCACCTTATTCTTAAAGACCCACTTGATTCCAACTACACTTTATCCCTTAGGTCTTTCTACAAGCTCCCACACATCATTCCTAACAAACTGGTTCAACTCCTCCTGCATGGCTAAGATCCAAAACTCATCAGAAAGGGCTTGGTTTATGTTGGTGGGTTCAGTCATTGAGATAAAGTTAGAGTGGTTCACTTCCTTCCTGAGTCCTTGTCTAGTCCTAACTCCATCAGAAGGGTCTCCTAAGATCAAATCTTTAGGGTGACTCGAATAGTATCTCCAATCTCTAGCCAAAGTGTGTGAAGGATCAATCCTTTCCTCCACATCTACATTTTTTACTCCTTGGGTAACCTCTCCTATTCCTTCAGCGTTCTGGTGCTCTACCCTCTTCTCTAAATTTTCTACTCTAGTGGTAATCTCTCCAACATCATCATCATCCTCAACTCTAGGCTTTCTAGGATCAGACTCATCAAAAACTACATGTCTAGTCTCTTCCATCACCAAAGTCCTCTTATTAAACACCCTAAAAGACTTCCCAACACTAGAATATCCTAAGAACATTCAATTAGAATTTGGGTCAAATTTTCCTAAGTGAGACTTCCCATTGTTGTGAATGAAAACCTTAAAACCAAAGACATGAAGGTGGGAAAGATTGGCTGTCCTACCCTTAAAGATCTCATTGGGTGTCTTATCAAATTTGGCTCTAACATTCACCCTATTCAACACATAACAAGCTGTGTTAACCGCTTCAGCCCAAAAGTATTTTGGAAGTGAATACTCAGCAAGCATGGTTCTAGCAGCTTCTAATAAGGTCCGGTTCTTCCTTTCAGCTACCCCGTTCTACTGAGGGGTCCTAGGAGCTTAGAAGTTATGGCTAATCCCCTTGTCCTCACAAAAATCTCCAAATCTCTCATTTTCAAACTCTCCCCCATGGTCACTATGAATGGTCAAGATCTCACAACCTAGCTTTTTCTGAATTTAAGTGAAGAAGACTCTAAACTCATCAAATGACTCATTTTTATTTGACAGAAATCTAATCCAAGTAAATCTCGAGTAGTTATCGATAATTACAAAATCATAGACTTTTCCTCCCAAGCTGGCAATGCTAACGGGTCAAAACAAATCCATGTGAAAGACTTCTAAAGGTCTAGAGGTGCTAATGTCCTTAATGGAGTGAAAAGTAGAGTGGATTTGCTTTCCTAATTGGCAGGCATCACAATGGTGGTCTTTTGAAAACTTAAGCTTGGGGAAACCTCTAACTAGGTCTTTTTGGGTCACTTTTCTAAGGTTTTCATACTGGCATGACATAATCTCCCATGTCACAACCATGAATCATCAATAATAGTTTTTTAAGGAAAATAAAGCATCACATTCAGAGTTTTTTAAATCAAGCATGTAAACGTTGTTGATCCGCTTTTCCTGCAAAATAGTGTTATTATTTAAGCTCATAATGCATGATTTTGCCAAAAATTTTATGATGAAGCCCTTGTCGCAAAGCTGACTGATATTAAGCAAGTTGTGTTTCAGTCCATCTACAAGCAAAACTTTTTCAATCAAAAGATTCTTAGAATTACCAATTACACCTACTCCAAATTCTTGGAATTACCAATTACCAGTAGTGCAAGTGGAAACACACATGTAATCTTCTGATTTTAAAGCACAGAAAAAAAGTTCATACATTTTGCATTTAATTGTGCTAAATTCCTATCATATAGAATCCATTCAGTAAAAGGAAATAGAATAGTAACACCATTCAATTTTCCAGTTGGAGGTGTATAAGCATCCTTAAGAAGCATCCACATGTGATAATCTATTAATTGTAAAAATGTAGGCATGTGAGTTTTTCAAAAATCAAAAGAAATATTATCAAATAAAGGTGGTCGTGTAATAGAATACCCTTGCACAGTATTACAATTTCCGTTTTTAGCCATGGATCAAAATTCAAAAAGTTTTCAAACTTAGTTTTTATGAATCCCGCTATGATAACACTTGAAAGTTTATTAGGGATGTTAAGCCCTTAAGAACTAGCCCGAGGCTAACCAAGTGGGGGAGTGAATTGGAATTTTAAATATTTTTCTTTAGGTAAAGCACAAAACTAAAACCAAAAACACCAAAGAAATCAAAGTGCAAAAATAAATAAACGTGGGAGCGAAGAAAAAAAAAGATCACACCGGATTTATAGTGGTTCAGTCAATCCTTGACCTACGTCCACTCCTCGGAGGCACCCTCTGAGTATTGCACTAACTAAGTGTCTCTCATTTAGCTCTCACAGTTAGGTGGAGAAGCCTTTACAATAGACTCCTTTTCACCAACCCCGGTGCGGCAGAGAATCGACTCCTTTTGCTTCCTCCTGAAGCAGGCAAAGAACCCAGACCTTTGGCTGAAGTAGACCTCCCAAGGACGAAGGACGAAGAATAGAGATGACGACTTGGAATCTTACTTGGAGCAACCTTTTTGAACCCTCTCACAAACTCCCCCTCACAAGTTCTTCTCTCTCTCTCTCTCTCTCTCTCTCTCTCTCTCTCTCTCTCTCTCTCTCCCCTCTCTCCCAAGGCTCTCTCAGGTCAAGATAGCAGCACTCAAGGTCTTGTTGCATGAGAAAATTTGGGTCCTTCAAATAAAATTTCAAGAACCGACATTATCATCCAGGACGATATGAATATCATCCTGGTTGATCAGTACAAAATAAGCTCCATCAGCCAGGATGATTTGGGATGATCAGAAGAAAATTGGTTACATTGTCTAGGTCGATACAATATCATTCTGGCCGGTTAGTTCAAATTCGAGTATAATCATCCTAAACATCACCCAGAATAGATTCTAGCCGATGTCAATCGTCTAGGACATCATCCAGGCCGATCCTGCGATTGGCCCGGTCGATGTGATCGTATCAATCAACCTTAATTACTTTCCATAATTGTAAAATAATTTTGGCATAATTGTGATGTATTGTCCAGGATGATATGGAGATCATCCGAGATG